AGTGAAAAAGAATTCGAACTAGGCGCCGTGTTGTGCTGTGGCAATTTCAAATGTTAATAAACCTGTCAAAAAAATGTTAACGCGTAAAGGAGAGTGTAATTAGGGTGTTGTTGGGTGCAATAACATTCAATAACTCAACTTTTTAAAACAACATTTTATAGCTTCACAACTTCACACACCAATTTGATCAAAAGCAAAAATGGATTCAAGCAGTTCGACTAAACAAGTGAGTAAACAAAGTGCTCTTTACATAATCAAAAAATTAAATAGACATATACTATGAGAGGATAAAATATAATTTGCAATATTAATGGTATACTTTTTTTAATTGACTAGTGAAAATTACTGATAATTTAGAGTTGGTTAGCGTGGTTATTTGGGGGGGTGTTAATTCATTGGTAAATCCTAGATTTAGAATCCTAGAATCCTTTATCCTAGGTTTTACAGCATTTCGGACATTTACAGTAACATATATACTAGTTGTTTACGATATTCCCCCATGGTGGCAGCACCGGCGGAGAATGCACTAAGCCTATACACTAGACCTTTAATCTTTTTAATGGTTAAAGATTAAAACGAATAACAAAATAAACCCGCATATGGTCGTTGGATCTCAATTGAGGTTAGAATTTTTTGAGTGTGGTTCAACAACTAACAATTCCTGTTTTTAAATGGACCATATATGTCTATTTAAATATATTTGTTCTAAAGGTTTGAATTAAGAAAAAAAGAAATTAACTCCTGTTAGATTCTGCTTGTGCCAAAATCAAGCATTAAGTATATTATCGTAATAGCGAGTATGTCTACTTGTCAGATTTGACACTTCTCATTAAGAATGTCAAAAAATGCTCATATACATACTAAAATTTTGAAAAAAAATGGTTTATATTTAGTTAAGAAAAAAACAATTTAAATATAACTGACAAGCTGAAGCCACTAACCTCAATTACTTAATTGATTAATTGATTTGCCGGACATAATATACTACACTAGATTACTTGTAGGGATGTGCGATAATGGCTTTTACGTCTCGATAAGTATCGCAATTCACCTATCGATATATCTAAGTTATCGATAAGGCGATAATTATCGATACATCGATAACTATCAGTAGTTATCGATATATCGACAGTTATTGACATCGATAAATCGATGTATCGATAATTATCGAATTATCGATCGTAATCAGTTTATTGGTAATAGGATATTATTCGGTTATCGGATATATCGATAAGTATCGATATATCTATAATTTTGAACTCACCCATTGTTGTTCAATATATCGAGAACTATCGATAGTTATCGATATATCGGAAAAAATCTATCCCTAATCGTAAGTATCTAATATAAAAAGCGAACATATAAAAATTTTACGGAAAGCTAAAAATATAATAAAATCTTATTCTCTTTGAATAAAAATAGGGTTATCTATATATCGATACATCGATAGTTATCGATATATAGATAAGTATTGATTTATCGGTAGTTATCGATATATGGATAATTTTAAAGTCACCTATTAATAGGTCGATATAACTATCGACACTTAACAATATATAGTGAAAGACCTATCCCTAATACCTTGTTTCTTAATTATTATTTAGGTATTATTGTGCTTACCTCTGCACTATGGCCTACAAGCTTTACTATTGGCTCCGAATACTTCAAGTTCCAAATATAAGCATTTTCATCACTACTGCCACTGATTAAATATTTGTCATTTTTGCTTAAAGAAGACCTGATATAAAATGAACTATTCTGGTGTCCGGTATACTTCGCAACTGGCATAACATTGTATGTGGCTACGTTGTAACAATATATTGTGTTATCTAAACAATTTGCATATAATTTTGTACCTGAAATTATATAAAATTATAAGAAAAACCACAGAGTAATAAGAAAATAACAAGTCAAACTACCTGAACTATCAATAACTAAGTTACTAAAACCATTTTTTGCCGTTCTTCCCGTGTAAGGTATGGTAAATTTAGGAAGAGGTTCTTTTTTTAAAGTTGAATAGGTTTTTCTGAGGTCCCAAACTTTAATCATACCATCTCCAGCACCGCATGAAATTAGTGTGTTGTAGTCCTGGAACACTAGGCCTGTAACGCTTTTTATTCCTGAAATTTTTACAAAAAAAAAATGTATTAATCATGCAATAATACCGTTTGTTTAATTATAAAATGGAGAAAATTTACTCTGTGTTCTTCACCCCTGAATAATAAAACTTGTTTTTCGACTATTTCTGCAAGTACATATTTGATTTTCATCTTCCACATATAACAGAATATTTAACTAATTTTCATTTATTATTTCTCTATGATCCTTATCAATATTAGTGTCTTATTTTTATATTTACAGTGTTTAATAACTTTCGGTTGGAATTCTTTTTACATTTATAGTTCTGTTCTTTTTTGAAAATATACAGAAAATAAATCCCTTACTTATCTCCATAATACAATTAAATTATAATTTTTCTTCTTCAGTTGTGTAATTCATATTTACAAATTATTTTTGTCAATAACATCAATTTCACATTACAAAATTGAATTTGAAGGTGGCATGTTTGTTATTCAAATCTTTTCGATTAATTTAGTATTTTTTTATCTTTCATAACCCCAAGAGCAATTTGTAGAAGCTATTGAAAATGAACAATTTGCTTCATTTTAAGGAGTTCTTTAGAAAGTTTCAAATAATTTTTACTGTAAAATAATAATCAATATAAAAAATAAATATAATTCAAATAATTTTTACTGTATTCATCATTTTTATAGTTTACATGAGATTTCCTATGTTCAGGTTGGCGATTCAATAGACTCTATAAAGAAGTTTTAGTGTTATACCTGAATTGACACAAGATTGTAACTTTTTCCTCGATTTACTTGGTGTATGTGTATCTTTCCCTGCATGTGAGTTTAAAATAATCCTATCCGGTACTCCAATAAAGCTATGCTGTTCTGTCCTTGTATCCCACAGAATAATGTTACCATCTCTACTACCTTCAATACATACATTATCTTTAGTTCCTCAAAAATCTATTTAACAGTTATGTACCTGTTGCAAACACGCTTGAATCCTCTTTACGAAAAGTTACTGTTTTAACTGAACGACTATGACCACAAAACAATCTGACTTGCCTGAAATCACCGTCACCAAAATCAAACAGTTTGGATGTGTGGTCTCCGGATGCAGTAACAATTTGCATTTGATCAAACATCCATGACAAGTCGAATATTGCATTATTGTGTGCTAGTGTACTATGTCTAAAAAGTATTGCAACTTAAAAAACTGTACTGTTTTCAATTTACAATGTTTACTTTTCTTTGGTTTCACAATCTATTACTGCCAGTGTTCCGTCTTCGTTTGCCATACCAACAAAATGTTCGTTTCCATCTTTTACTGCACTTTTACAAGCAAACATGGAAGAATCCACTAATGGGAAATCGGAAACTTCATATTCGCAATGTAAATGGTGCATTACACTATCCGCCTGTTTCCATTGAGCTAAAAATTATAAATAGTAACATATAATAGTCATCTGATACACTACAGATCTTTAAACATAGTAATTCTTTAGTATAAACAAAATATTTTAGCAAATCATTTGATGTATACTTACAAAAACCGTATTGCTGATTAAACAATGACTGTGTATTATTCATCTTATCTTCCTAATGTAATTATAAAAATGTTGACTATATAACCACTGGCATTGCAAAATTTTCCAAATAAATTATTTAAGTGCGGGAAAACGGTTTCTGGACGTTTCTCTACATATTTTATTACTAAATTGCTCTACGTCGGCGGGCAACAAAAACAAATTATTTTTGTGTGTAGAAAAGAGATAGTTCTATGACGTAATGCAAAAACTATAGAAAATATTTGTAAATAACATGAAGTTAGAAGGAATACCAACATTTACCTTGATCTGTGGGCATCATATATAATTGTTTAATTTTATAAACGTCATTAAAATATGAATTTAAATATCATCATATTTTATGGCTTCTGCCTGGCCGTCGAAAGGCGCGTGGTCATCGTGAAACAAGAAGAAGAAGAAGAAGAAGAAGATATCATCATATTTTATGGCTATATATGATCTGTCATATGTCAGAATTTGACACATTTTTTCTAATCAAGACACGTCGTGTTTACAAAAATTATTTTTAAATGTTATAAATTAATTTTATAACATATATTTGAAAATATACGTAGATATTGCTGCTTAGAATGGGGTAAGTAAATACTGCCGTGTTTTACATAAATCAGTCATGTTT